GCGAAGAAGCATTTTTTTGGAGCATTTTAATAGCAACGGATATCTCTATGTCCGGTTTTTCTAAATTTTTTACTTTTCCTTGATACACCTGCAAAATATTTGAAATTAATTTAAATATATACTTCATTAAAAAATATATAGCTTAATGTCAAGTGATATCATTTTATTTTGTATTAAACAATTTATCGAAAAATACATAATAGAGTGCATGTGCATGTTATCTTACAAAAATTTTGCTTATAATCTCTTATAAAAAGTTATTCATATAATTATTTTTATCGAGACATGCGTATCTGTTTCAATTTCTGTTGATCTAGAAATAAATAGCGTATAACATTGTATTGAACAAATTAAATAGAAACATTGAGTAAAAAGACTCTAATATAAAATAATATAAAGATTGTAAAACAGGCGAATAAGAGACGGACGCAGAAATAAATGCGCGCAGAGTTATTTGATTATATCGAAAAAATTATTTTTTACCATTCCGAATGCGCCGCTGCCTAAAAGTTTTTCTAGTCTAATTTCTTCACGTTTGATTTCGATCAGTGCATATTTATCCAAATTATATTCTAACATAGGATTGTATAACGTGTTGAGTTGAACATTAGGAACATTGGGTATCTCATGTAAAGTCTCTAATTCGATGTCGCTCATTGTCAGAGGCAAAACTTGCTTGTTACTTTTTTTACGTTGTCGATCTGTTATAAAATTGCAATTTACTTATCTAATAATATACATTGCAAAATTTATATCGCCTTTTCGACAAGTAAATTAACTTTTCTTAGAAAATCTTTATCTACTACAATACATTAGATATAATCTCTTTATACGATTAAAAACTTAAATGGATATCAAATATACTTACAATAGTAGTAGATGAAAATTACAATAACCATAGCGACAAAACTTGATATAATATATTGGTAATATTGTGTAACTACACTGTATATTCCAGGAGTGCTCGAAATATTACCTTTGTTTCGCAAAAATATACTCTTAATATCTTCATTTTATTTAAAAACTTACTCCTACTTATAACTTTACTATTAAAAATTACTAAGTTTTTAAATTTTGTAAATATATTTTTATATTTAAAATAAGTATATAATGTTATAATATCTTCATTGGCTTACTTGTCAGTGTTGAAAAAGTAAATCTTTTATCAGACGGCCATATAAAATCTTTCTCGTACTTGGGGTATTTCAATATTAAACGAAATTTGTATAGAGTTCCTGGTAGTAAGTTTTTTATATAGTAGATTATTTTTTCTCCATTATTCGGCTCAAAGATGTTTGCCGAATTTTGCCGAACGATTTGCCACTCCTGCATTTCAACATTTTTGTATTCCAATAAGTAATAAATCATATTAACGCTTGGAATCCACGAGATATTCATACCGTTTATGCTAACCCCGCTTAAAGTTATATTGTTTGGTTCCGAATACATGTACAAGGTTTTGTTTAAACTGTCATTATAATGATCGCTGAAGTTGGCTGGATACATGCGTACATATATCCTATATTTCTGTCCTGGTATCAACGGTTCGATTATTGTGAAAAATTTGCTGCCTACCTTATGTTCGGTCTTATTGATAAATAGCTCGTTTATTTGTCGTGTACTATATGATGTATACGTGTACGTTGTATTGATAAATAATGTCCAGTATACTTTATAGATCACGGGCACACAGTGTAATTTCTTGGGTGGCATCCAATAAACTGCTGCTATAGTAGGCGTCAGAGCCTCAACTGTTACATCTTCCGGTGCTTCGAGCTTGCTTGGTTTAATTTTCAGTATCACTTCCGAGCCGAATAACGGATACATCGATAATTGATCAGAATAAAAATTGCTTAGAGTTAGCAGTAACTTGTACTCTGCAAACGGCGTTAAATTCTGGATCTCGTAATACCGCTTGTACGTTTGCACGGTAAAATTATCGAACTTGTTAAGATTATTGTCTAAACAATAGTTTATGTAGATGGTGTATAAAGTAGCAGGTAAGTTGTACCTTTTGCATCCATTCTTGGGTATCGGTTCTGGAAGATTTACGATGATGCTGTTCGTCGTTACCGTGTACATCGGTTTTTCTACGTTGTAAATTCTTTTGTCAAGTGTCAGACATCTCGTCGAAGGATATGATTGCAAAGATTTACCCAAAGCATAGAATTTAGGAAATACTAAAGTTTCGGAGAAAGACACTCTTATCTTTTGGATGTACTTAAATGCGTCTACGCTTTTAAGCAGTGCATACTTTTTTTTCAAAATATAAATTACATCATAACCATTTTCAACAGTAATATAAATGTTTATCTTGTCAACTGTTAAAGATTTGAAATTTAATTTATTGCCAATGTCTTTAGTTCGTAAAATCAAATTGCACATAGAAAAATTAATGTCCGTCAGAATCAAGAGTTCTTCGAATAGCCAAAAAATTAGCGGCTTCTTTGTATCCATGCCGTCAATTTTCATGCCAACAAAAACTAACATACTGAGTGAAAAGGGGCATATAATACATAAATTATTCTGAATGATTGGAGTGTTATTTCCATCAAGATCCAATTGTATCATCTGATATTTATTATCCTCAGTGTAATTTGTCCAATATAATGTCCTAAAAAATATATGCATTATTACACTTATTATAGAATTTTATTATAACAATAGAAGAAACAAGTTTTTGTGTATAGTAAATATTTAAAATTCTTATAATTAAAGTTGTGTTAATTTATTATTTTTTTTATAACTTTTGATCTTAATTGCAAAGCCATATGAAATTAAGGAAAAATTACAAATCAGTACAAATCTTTAATGGAAATACTGTTTATTTATTTCAAATGGATGAAAGTTAACATACCCCATAGATGGAAATATAGTTAAACCGCTATAACGAAAAGTTCTTATTTTCAAAATTTTATCATATTTTACTATGCCATTTTCCCACATTGTTATATCAAGCTTTATGAGGTCAGTAAAACCAAACCCAAATTCCATCCAGTACAGATTTCTTGCTACCCAGTCAATGCAAAGATAGCGCGCAATATTTTGAAGCTTAGCTATTTTTGTAATATTGTTTTCATTCATCTTTAATATCATTCGGTCTTTTACATTGTTGCTCCAATAAATTTTTTGTTCCGCTATTGAATAAGTGGCATATCTCACGTTCTTATCCTTAACGAGATTAACCGTGATTTTTAAATCCAGATCCCATACATCGATACCGTATCGTGTTATCATCAATACTTGCGGTATTGGATTTTCGTGCGTAGTCGATACATCAATCATATCTGTGTAAAGACCAGCACCAACTTTAGTATGCACTCGTACTTGAAAATAGTACGTCGTGCTAGGTTTTAGATTGTGCACTGTGCACTCCAATATTGTAGCTGAAATACTTTTGTCGTTGCAAATTTGAATCTCCTTTTGGTTCTCGATGAACCAACATTGCACTGTGTATCCTTGTATTATTTCGTCTGTAAATTCAGGTTGATTCCATCTGCAAAAAAAATAATATTTTGGCCTTTTTATATTTAGTAAAATTATAACAGAATCAACATTTTTATATGTATTTGTTGTTAAATTTAAAAGAATATAGACTAAGAATTTAGATTTTTTACCTGTATGTCACAGAAATATCGTCTTCTTCATTTAGGAATCCATTATGGAACTCCACAAATGCTCTGGGAGATGTTGGTTTGCTCAAAATGCTTTCTAGAAATTTTTAGATTCCACATATTCATATAATTATATACAGGAACATTAACTATAATCTCAGTACTTCAGAAAAAACAATTTAAAGTAAAAATGAAAGCAAGAAAAAAAATAGAGATATATTACAAAATATGGAAATTATATAGCACAACAAGTATTGACTATTAAAATAATAAAATAATATAAAAAAGTTTGCGTGTTTTATATGGAAAAAGGTGATTGTTAATTTAGAACAAAAAAAAGTAATTGTTAATTCAGAACAAAAACAAATACAAAGTTTTTAATAAAGCATTAAATATTTTTTGGAAATGTCTTATTGATTAAGAAATAAGAAGTATAATATTTGCAATTGTTTAAAAAAAAAATAAACTAGCAAAATTAAATAATATAATTAACTGCTTTATATTAAATTTTGATTAATTTTACATACGTATAATATATGAAATGAAATTTATATTCTTCTCACTGTTGAAAGATATTTTTTTTTGGATCTTATTTTTACTCTCTCTTAAATGTAAATTATATTTATAATTTTTTTTGTCATGGACTTTTTTAAAATGATTTATGCATTGCTTTGCAACTTACCAATAGATTCTGGGATCACAGATATATTTGCAAATGGAATTTTGTCAACTTTGTTTCTCACACTCACACTATCAGAATGACTCCGGTCAGATTTGCGGTTTTGTAAAATATGATAATCGTTGTTCTCGGATACTGGAATATCCTTGATAAGATATAACATACAAAAAGAAATTAGTAAACACCGCTAGGCCAAAAACGTGGCGACCTTCGATACTTTTAATAAACAATATATGTACTAAGTAAATAGTAATGTATGTAATAAGTAAATCTGCCATAAAATTTCTTGTTTGTTTAATCATATAGGTGTGATATTTTTCTGTATACCTCTCTTGATTGATAATGTGTTTAAAACATACAGTGCAGTTACATTTTTTTAAAAATCTGTTTTTATTGTTTTTCAAGACTTTTTTTAAAAATCTGTTTTTGTAGTTTTTTATATGCAAAATCTTCTTGCATATCAAACATGATTCTTTTATTAAACGGAATTGGCTATCGTACACAAAGCTGCGTCAAATAGATGTCAATAAGACCGTTTGGACCAATGAGCATGTAATGTAAATCAATATGTGGTGGTTTAATGCTCAATGCTTGTTGATTTAAACGGTCTGCCATGCATATGCAGCTATGTCAATTTATGTGTGATGGTCCAAAGTCACGCAGAATGGAATAATTTGGGTTAATGAGAGTTCATATAACCGATTCTCTTAACAAGTAATACATGAAGGTGTAGATCTTTTCGATTGTTGAAACAATTTTGTTTAACGTTTGTTTACGGTAAGTTAGTTAATTTCTCCAAGTAAGTGACTTTATCTTAACATTTTTACTTTTCTTCTTAAAAATTTATTTGTTTTCTTTAAAGTTTCAGTTTATTTAACTTCAAGAATATAAATGTTATAAATATTGTCTTTTTATGGTCATAAAAATTATATAAATTTTTTTACTTAAACTTTTGTTGAATTTCTTTGCAGTTATCGTTACATGTTTTAACGCAAACCAATTTTGGAGAATATGATATTATAATTAACTTACATTACCTGGGTAAAATTGTATGTATATAGCTATATAATGAATATATGTACAATTAAAATTATATATAAAGTCAAAGACGTACCAAAAAATGGTATATTGTTGATTTCTGTGAATTTAATGTTACGGTTAATTGATAAAACTCAAAATTCCATTATATCGATACTCGACTTTATTTCGATATTTAGTAATGCTGTTCTGTTATATGTGTATATATATAACTATCCTTAACATAAAAAAATGAGACTGACTTTCTAAATTAATTTTGTTAAATAAAAACTAATTTAGTACATATCTTATTATACTAATACGAAAGGCAGTCAAATATAAATCAAACTTTTTCCAAAACTTTTTATTTGATCAAAATATTTCCAATTAAAACGCACATCCAAATCATTTTTCTACATAATTTCCACCAATATCTAAGCAGTTTTGCCACCAGATTGACCGTTTTTTTATTTCCATATTATAAAAAGTAGTGGGACATGTCCAAAGCCAATTGCGCACGAATTCTTCCACTTCTTCATTATTGTCGAATCGTTGTTCTTCCAACGCCTCTTTCAGTGGTCCAAACAAATGATAATTACACGGTGATAAATCGGGATTGTAAGGGAGATGTTCAACCGTAGTTTAGTGCAGTTGTGACTATTTCTCTTCAGTTAAGGCGGCAGTGTGAGGCCTAGCGTTGTTGTGCAGAAGCAAAATTTTTTATGTGCATAATTGGTTTCGGATACGTCCCACTACTTTTTATAACACGGAATAAAAAAACTGCCAATCAAATGGCAAAGGTACTTGGATGTTAGTGGAAACTATGTAGAAAAATGACTTGGGTGTGCATTGAAAATATTTTGATCGAAAAAATTTTGGGAAAAGTTCGGTTTATATTTGATTGTCCCTCGTAAATGATTATAAATATTTAAGAAGATAAAGAGGTCTTAGGAATTAAAGAAAAATCACATAAAAATCAGTTTGTGTCACCATATATAAGTATTAATATAGCGGAGAATAAACAGAAAATCTTATTGATGTTAAAAATACTTATTTTTAAAAAAAGCAATTAGAGAGGCGCAAAGATGATACAGTCAAGTTTTAATAGACCATTTAATTAAGCTTATTTCGTATTATATAACATTCATTTATAAACAAAGTTTCCAAGAATACATATATTTTATTATTATATGCAGTTTTAGTTACTCAAACTATTAGCTGTAATAACATTTAATTTCTTAAGCTTAATTTTGTACTATGAAGCATCCATTTATAAAAAAAATTTCCAAGATTTATACACTTTCTTTTTTTCGTAACATCACACATACTTTTCTAGTATTCTAGTATTTCTAGTATTTCTAGTATTTCTGCTATTTTATGTTATATAGTTTTATTTTATTATTATACAGTACATATATTTTATTATTATATACAGTTTTAGTTACTCAAACTATTAGCTGTAATACCATTTAATTTCTTATTTAACAAAGCAATCTCTTACCTGCATGAGGTCTGAATCTGGGCACATGGGATCGCACTCTCTCGAAGCTACACTATTTTCCGGATACTTTGATAAAGTATCCGCTCCCGCTAACATTAACACTTTTAGTAAAACACATAATACCGTTTTTGACATAATAATTTTGTTCTTTTTTTGTAAATACTTGCTCTCAATCAGTTCCCGCACAATCTTTGGCAGCTCAGCTATGAATAGTGATTCTATCGATATTCTTGATAATGCAAATAATTGCTAATTGCATCAACTTTTTCTTACTTATATCATTTTTTTGAAATTTGTTTAGTATATCAATCATGAAATCTCTTCTAGCGCTAATTTTCAAAATTCTTTTTATAATCAATCACGATGTATCTTACATATCATCAAATTATAAAACATTTGGTTAATAAATTGCTCACTTTTTTCCATAAAAACCAATGACAACATTGAACGAATGCATTTGTTTGTATCAAATAATAATATGAATATTATTAGTTTTCCTCTGTAATTGCTCTTAATATAATTTGATAGAAAAGCAGTCAAATGAAAAGAAACGTGCATGATATAATTATTGTTGGAGAAAATTATAGACGAACAGGAAATTACTGAATTATAAATCTTTAATTTTGTCACTATTCATGCACTAAATTTTACCAGATTGTATATATTTTCTATATCTCTTGTTTGATTAAATACTGCATTCAATTAAAAACTGTGTGTGATAATTGTTTCTTAAACCATTATTTTTTATTTGCTACACTCCACTTGCGATTTTCTTCTGTGAAAACATTCGTCGCTAATTTAAAAAGAGCTAGACTTTTTAAGATTTGTTAAATTTCATTATTAATATTATTAATGAGTAACTAACGTTCATAAGTAATATGTAACCATGTATATTGCGACAATAAACGTCATAGGCGTTTACCGGGTGAGGAGATTTGAGTACTCTAATGAACCTAAGAGCGATGTCGTTTAGGATTGCCACCTTTTTTTAAAACAAATAACGTATGTAACGCCTTTGAGAACGAAAAAAAAAGAACGTTAAATAAAAAAAAAAGTACATATATTTTTTATATTATTTATTTTTCCATACATATTTTTTATTACTTTTAGTGATATCTAATAAGTGTTTGTCTTGTTTAAAGACTTCTACAGCGTCTTTACAACCGATATTTAAATTTAAATATATCAACAACTCATTTTTAATTAAATTTAGAGAAGCTTTGTTCCTCTAATATATGTTACGTGAACTATAGGCAAAAAAATTAAAAAGGACCATCTTCTTTCTACAGAAAAGGCAATTTTCAAGTGGCTGCAACTTCGTTACATATAATCGGATTGAGATCAATAAAAAAGCGTTACTATGCTTGAAGTTTCTAGTTTCAGAATCTTTTAGTCGAGTTTAATTCTTTTTATTTGTTACAAAATTACATTATGAAAAAGCGACGTTCGTCGATTGAACAAATTTTTCAAAAATTTGTCAGAAAGTGCCAAAGAAAAAAAAATTGTAACACGATTTCGTTAACTGGATTTTAAGGAGCAGAGTTTTATTTTTCATTTGCCTTTTTAATGAATGTCCTATGATTTTTTTTCGCCAAGTTGTTCACTACTGAAGTAAAATCAATCTATTGAGTTTGAGCGTTCATAACTAGTGAAAAAATCGCGCAATGATGATTAAAAAAGTAGTTTAAAGAGAAAAGTCGGCACTTTAAAATGCACTAATTGTTTTTTTCAATTAATATCCATAATCAAAGTGTAATCGTTACTTTAAAATCAAATAAAAATTGCACTTTTTCATTTAAATGCAAATTATTGAAGAAACGCTAACATTTTTATGTACTCTACAATATTTACAAGTAAAAAATATCCCAATTACTCTTGCAAAAAGCTGAAGCAATTAGTGCTTAATACTTTTGTATCAAAAATAAGAAAAAAAGTGTTTTTTTCCAGAGATGATGTACTTGAAAGAACGAGTTCATGCAAATCTCGCACGGCCGCTATGACTATGAACGTTTGACGGGAGTAACTTCGTTATAGCGTGCCAAAGCCCCATACAATGCACTATTTTGAGGTTCCACTGTATTGTAATGAGAATTCTAAATTAGATCTCACTACGTAAGTTTTTCTTCTCTTTTTCAATTATATGATGCGCTGTAGCGGCATTCACGGTATTTTTTAGTCACACTTCGTACATAGACATATTTGTGGAGAAATATAGTCAATAAATATATCGTAGGATTAACAAATTACGGAGGTTTGATCTCCACATGATATATGAACAGTTTAGAGTCATTAAAAACTGTAGAACTGATAAACTATAAAGTTCTGATCTTTGACATCCTACACATGTATGCATGGACAAACGCACACCTATATATTCCAAGAGTAAAGTAAATTTAATCAGTGTCTTTATATGACATATCTCGAGTCATTCTCTCCGGCAGAAAATATCGTAACTTTGCAATTCATAGAAGTTCTTAACAAAAGAAAATTTAATTATATTATTTCAAAATATGCTTTTTAATATTACCGTTTTGACCAGTTAGAATATAAAAAACGGGAGTTTCTATTTAAAAAATTGAAAATGATTTTTACAAAATCTTCAAAGTAACCCAAGGTCAAGATAATACTATTATGCATCACTTGAAACGTTACAATTTTTGTTTGAAGCACTTTTTTTTTTAATATTTACAAAATATTTGGTCGTTCCTTTATATACACCTGGTATATACATTTATAAATATATGTATATACATAGTTACTCAATCATAATTTTCTACATTTTTTTTTGCACAAAATATAAAATTCTTTAAAGTTTCTTAATGTATTAAAATTAGTGTATGCGTAAATTTATTCATTAAATTTTTTCTAATATTATATGCAATGGCTCTGTTTCTTTATTAATTCGTAATAAAAAAGAAAAATATGAAAATTAATTATAAGCATATTCAGGATCGGTTCTGACTCCTTACTAGTCCTTGTGCGAGAACAATTTTTGCGCCCCTATGTTGATGTGTGTGTGTGTATAGAAAAATAAAACGACAAAAAATGTACATTTATACACATACAAAGTATGTATTTTATAAACATATGTACTTAAAAATTGTATAAAGAAACAAAAACAAAAATATTTTCTTATTACCAATGAACACTTCTAAATTTCTTAGTAGCTAAATGTTGAATCGTCTATAATATCAAATCAATCTAAACTTTCACAAAGTCCATATTCTATAGTTAAAAGTCCTAATTCGGTTAATCGATCCTGAGTCATAGAAGATCGCAGATAATTCTTTATTAATTTTAATTTTGATAAACTTCTTACACTGCAACAGGTATTGGCAATATTAAAGAGATTCTTAAAGATATAAACAAATTAGGAAATGATCACTGTAAGTTATTCTTAACAATACAATCTAAATTTTGTAACGGATTCGATAAGCTTCTTTGCATTATTTTATATGTTTGTAATTCGTAAAATAATTCCAAACCATTTATATCTTTAAATATTTAATTTTCTGTGTCAATTTGCAGAATTAAGTCTAAATCTAAACAAGCTTTTTTTCTCTTCTGACAAATTATGAAATCCGCACAAAAATTTGAATAAAATATTGCATTCATTCAAGATTTGAAACCTTTCTTGGATTACTGGCAGTAATTGCTGGCTTGAATTAAGGCAGTATTTAGTATATTACGAAATAAAATTTAATCTTAAAAATTTCTTTCGGGTCTGTTAATGTTTCGTAAGCGCATTCATAACTAAAATGTCTTATTTTTGTTCTATTACAAACAATTGCAAATTTGGCAGATATATTTATTTCAGTAGCCAAAACTTAAGCATCACTAATATATTTATTAAATGCTTCACTACATCTAATATCATTTAAAAATTTTATTATTTTTTTTAATATTTTTGTAGATTTATTTATGTTAGATCCAGGTCTTTGTAACATTTTATCTGCTACGTCTAGTTTTGATAATGTATCATGCCATATAATAACAGAACATATAAATTTAAAATTTGTTATATGAATTAATAATAAATTGGTCATATGTTTTGTTTTTATATTTCGAGAAATATATTCTATCAAGATATTTAAATTTTTAATAATATCGTTTAATTGCAACCTGAGAGAACGTATCGCATTTATTCTACTCTCCCATTTAGTATCGCTAATCGATTTTAAAGTTAGCCTAGAAACATTATTTTTAGTACATCCCATCTGTAGGATGATGTAGAAAAAAATGTGTACAATATTTCATATTACTAATACTTTTGATTAAGATATACGCCTTCCAGTTCATATTGCAGTTTCCAGTTTATTGTAAACCGAGGAAGGCCGCATAATTCTACGAGTGTTGATTTCGCGAAGCGCTGATGCCAAGTCTACAATATCAAGTAAATCTGAACTTTCACATTCTAGTTCTAAGTTTATATTCTATATTTTTAATCCGTTATCGTAACCTTGTCCGCGAATATTCTAAATTTTAACTCATAATCTTTAAAAATATCATGCACAAAATAATTATATAAACCTTCGCCAGTTGTATTTAATACTGAATAAAATCCTAAAAACAATTCTTGCACTGTAACATTATTATCTATAATATCGACCATTCTTATAACAAAGAATAATTGTTCAATATCATTAATGTCTGATGTACAGTCTAAAATTATAAAGAAATATTTATCTTGTCTTACTAATATTTTAATTTATGTTTTTATTGTGCTTGCTAATGCAGATATAATTTCGCTTTGAAATATTTTTCCTATGCAATGGGGCATATGTTTCTTTAATTCTTGAGACAATTTTAATGTTTTCAACGTGTTCAAAAATTATTGGATCAAATTTTGCTACCATTTCTACAGCTTTTAAACAATTTTCATTATTTGATTGATATAATTTGTCGTTTTCACCTTTAAAAGCTAAACATTGTCTTACTAAAAATTGCACTATTGCTATCATTCTTTCAATTTCGTCATCGCTTCTTTTCAGAATCAAAGTAACACTGTTGTTTTATATCAAGCTATCATCGAGGCGGATCTCTACAATCAGAAACTGATTTTCAACTACAGTATTTTACGCTTTTAAATGCCTCGTTCGGGATCGGTCATGGCCACTAAAACATAAACGAGATAAAATTGCTTCGTTATTATATTGGCATTACATAAAAGATCTGAGCCGAGCGTTTGAATATATGTACGTTGATTCCCGCACCGCACATAGATACCGTGCATATACAGGATGAGTTAGATAAAATGTTACAAACTTATATCTCGGAAACAAAGTATTTTAGAGAGAAATGTTTTATACAAAAGTTTTATGACCTCGAAGAGGATATAAGATGGTATCATGGTGGTGGTTTGACCTGGGATAATCGTTTGAAGATCACATGAAGGTTACCTTCAATTTCTTAAGCGGGGAGCCTCGTGTAATGGGTCAAAAAAAATCGATTTTTTGTGTATAAATTAATAGTAGTACATCTTAAAAATATGTCCCTGGAGTTACAAACCAAAATTCGAAATATTACCAGGGTTATCGATTTTACAGCTACGCGTCCTGTAGGTATACCGGAGAGCGCGCGGCGCATTCCTCCACATAGTTCGTTGTATGAATAAGCTCCGAACATGAGCCGGTATTTATAAGTCAGCGTGTCTGTGTAATTTGTGTACGTTTGTGTGAGTATATTTTTAAATAGTGAAAAGTGAGTGTATTGGTCACGTGAAAAAG